CTAAATTCGACTAGATTGGAGTTCTGGATTTTGAGCCTCCGAGCTTAAAACTCAGTGTTCCAAGATAGTCGGATTTGGTATCATTTTGTAGATCTCCTTGAGTTCTACAGTATACTTTTTGATTCGAGCCGGAATTCCAATTTTGAGCCGAGTTATGCGCCTTTAAAGTGCCCTTCATTTTACGTGTGATTTTTCCATGAGAAAAAAAGGCTCGATTTTCCTTCAAATTGCCCTTTTTAAGCCCTGTTTTTTCCGGAAATAATCTTTTTTTTTTCAAATTTCCGCCGTTTTTTTTTTTTGAAAAAAAGGCAATTTCTCTTGGAAATAGAGCCATTAATCATGCCATTTTTAGAGCGGTTTTTTGGTTTTTTTTTCAAATTTCCTCCATATATTACTCTTGTCCGAAATCAATGCACGTTGCGGCCGAGAAAACAACGGTGGGCGGAGCTTAGCGCCCACAGAGAGAACCTTACTGTATTTTTCAAATTATTGCACGCGCCTTTAATACAGTACCTCAACATTTATCGAATTTTTGCCTTTTTCTCTCATTTTTTCGCTTGTTTCTGTCTATTTTTGTCTAATTCTTATAAATCTTCAATTTATATTTCTTATAAAATAGAAAAAAACAGCCAAATAGGGCCCAAAATAAAAAAACGTCTGAGGTACGGTGTTTAAAGGCGCATGCATCAATTTGTTTTTTCGCTGTGCGACCGACGATGCGATTTTGAGTAAATTTTCGGCCGCAACGTGCATTGATTTCAGACGAGAGTAATAAAAAGCTCTCAAAAATGCAAATCGGACCCCTCAATTTTGGTCTCCATCGTCCTTTGGGGTAATTCCTGTGCATTTGGAGCAGAGGGTGGACATGGAGACCCTCAGCGCGGACAGATTCCAAAATTGGATTTGTTCTCTTCCAAGCCAATCAGTAGGAGAATAAAGCTGAGCAATAGGGATACTTCCGCCAGCCAGCCACCACAATTTTTCTCTCTCTCTCTCTCTCGCTCTCTCCGGAGAGTGTCCGGAGAGAGAGAGAGAGAGAGAGAGAGAGAGAGAGAGAGAGAGAAAGAGAAAGAGACAATTAGGGAGGAGAGGATATTGGAAAACTTCATTTTGAAGCGGAGGGGACCTCTCGATTTCAAATTTGGCACCGAGCCAATTTTAGGTCGCGCGTCGCGTGTCGGCGTAGCGGTCGCAAGCGAATGCAGGCTTAAAAATAGGCAAAAAAAGGAGATTTCGGGAAGAAAACCATCGTGATTTTCAAGATAAATTTTTCCAAAAGTTTTTACCGTATGCTACCGTAATCTAACTACAATATGCTTCCTAAAAATCCTGGTTTTTTGGGGCTTAAAATCGCTGAAAATTGCCGCACTCTCACCCTAATTGACCCCAAATTTATTGATTTTTATGAATTTTTTTCGCGCTCTTCAGATCGCCCGGCAGCTCCACCATCATCATCTCAAACCCATTATCACCGTCCGACGTCTAGTATCGCCAGCTACGCGGACGGAACAATGTTCCATGTCAGGAAGGCGCCATCCGAGGCGCACACTTTGGCCAATTTCGCCTATGTGAATCGAGACGATTTCAATGCGAATGAAATCAAGTTAGTGGGGGTGAAAAGGGGCCGAAATTAGCTAAAATCAGTAGAAAATTCCAGAAAAATCGACCTAAAATTAGCTAAAATCGGTTTTTTCCCCCGGAATTAGGCTCATTTTAATAGAAAATTTGAGAAAAATTGACCCACAATTGGCTGAAATTGATGGATTTCAGCTTTTTTTTCCCAATTTTCTTCGGGAAAAATGAGCTGAATTTTGAAAAAATCGACGAAAAATGAGCTAAAAATCGATGAAAATTGTCGAATTTAGCTCATTCTCAGTGGATTTTTCTAGAATTTTAAGGAAAAATGACCGATTTTAGCCAATTTTAATGGGAAATTCCAGAAAAATCGACCCACAATTGGCTGAAATTGATGGATTTTAGCTTTTTTTCCCAATTTTCTTCGGGAAAAATGAGCTGAATTTTGCCAAAATCGCTAAAAATCATCGAATTTGGCTCATTTTCCATGGATTTTTTCTGGAATTTTCAGGGAAAATTGCCGAATTTTAGTCAATTTAAAGCCAAATTAGCCCAAAAATTGACTGAAAATTAGCTGAAAATCGATAAAAATTATTGAATTTAGCTCATTATTAGTCGATTTTTCTAGAATTTCCAGGGAAAATGATTGATTTTGGCTCATTTTTAGTCGATTTTTCTCGAATTTTAAGGGAAAATTGCCGAATTACAGCCAATTTCGATGGAAATTTCCAAAAAAATCGACCTAAAGTTAGCTAAAATTGATCGATTTTAGCTTTTAGCTCATTTTCATTGGATTTTTCTGGAATTTTCTAGGAAAACGATCACTTTCAGCTCATTGTTCACATTTCCAGACACGTCAAAGTCAATCCCGGACCGGCGCACAGCTACATCTTCTCGATTCGGAATGATCCGGCGGTGAAGCGGGGAGAAATCGCATTCGGTGTTCCACACAGAAGTTGGGCGGTACTGTCGCTGGATCAGGAGATTCGTGTGACCCCGTTCCAATACAAACCATCCGAATACATTGGATCGATTGTCTTATCTGCGGATTTCAATAATAAGAAAAAGTAGGACCTGAAAAAGGCCCAAAATATTCATTTTAAGCGAAAAATGACCCCGAAAAACCCAATTTTTGAGGTTTTTCAAGGCTAAAATCACTAATTTCGATCGAAATTCGACCTGAAAAAAACGATTTTAGGCGAAAAATTACCCAAAAAATGAGGATTTTGAGCAAAAATTCACCCAGTTTCCAGCTTAAATGACCATAAAATAAGGACTTTCAGCCATTTTTTGATATTTCAGTGTGACTGCCGAACCGCTGAATGCTGACTTGATGGCTCGCGAGTTTTCGATTCAATTCGGAGGACAGGCGTTCACTAAGTGAGTAGAGAGACGGGGAGGGACATCTGGATGGACAGATTTACAGATGGAAATCCAGAAAAAAAGGGGTTTTTTTGGGGAGGAAAATGAGGATTTCAGGGCTAAAAATGCCCATTTTGCACTCAAAAATACTAAATTTGGCTCTCAAAATAACAAATTTTTGACCAGAAAGGGGCCAAATTTAGCACACAGAAAATAAGAATTTTGAACCTATATTGTCAATTTTGACCCAAAAAACAATAGTTTTGACCCCGAAAATATCGAAATTGGCCCTAAAATAAACGGTTTTCGGTTCGAAAAGTGTGAATTTTGGCGCCCAAATTATCGAGATTGGCTCTGAAATAGAGTCTATTTCTACCCAAAAAAAACGACGATTTTGACCCCGAAAATACCATATTTGGCTCTAAAATAAACGATTTTCGGTTCGGGAAATGTCAATTTTGGTCTCGAATATACTAAATTTGGCTCTGAAAATAACAAATTTCGGGTCCGGAATCGTGAATTTTGAGCGCCAAAAAACAAGGATTCCGACCTCGAAAATACGATATTTGGCCCAAAAATAAACGATTGTCTTTCCGGAAAATATGCATTTTTGGCCCTAAAATAAACGATTTTCGGTTCGTAAAGTGTGAATTTTGGCGCCCAAAATTATCGAAATTGGCTCTGAAATTGTCATTTTTGAGCCAAAAAATGTCATATTCGGCTCAAAAAATGCCAAATTCGGCCTCCAAAATTACGATTTATGGGTTACAAAAGACACTCAAAACGACAATTTTCGGATCTGAAATTATATTTTGAACCTGAAAATCTGAAATTTGGCTCAAAAATGACGTTTTTAGACCCGAAAATGTGAATTTTGAGCCCAAAAATCTCAATTTTGGAGTCAAAATCCCTATTTTTATAGTTCCAAAGTTGAAAATGGGCATTTTTTAGCGCACCCAAATATGTTATTTTTGGCGAAATTTCTGAAAAAAGTAACAAATGTCCTATAATTTTGCAGATCCATGAAAATTGCGTTCCGTTTCGAGGATAAGGAGAAGAACAAGACCCACACACTGTCCCTCGTCGTCAAATCCATCGAACAGTTCGATGTGAACAAAGCGGCACAGGCGGCGGCGAATGGAGAGCCGCAGAGCAGCAGTGCGAAGCCAGAGCAAATCGAGTCGGGACAACTATTGCCAAATTCGGTGGTCATTTTCGATAAGGAAGAGGGCTCGATGCTCAATCTGGTTGGAAAGAGCAAGGGGTGAGGATTCTAGGAGCCAAAATAGCTTCAAAATAGATGTAAAAAATAGGTCGAAATTGACCAAAATTGACCAAAAAATGAGGATTTTTGAGTCAAAATGGTCCAAAAACGATGATTTTTGAGTTAAAAGTGACCGAAAATTGACCAGAAATGAGCATTTTTGAGTCAAATTTCATTGAAAAACGATAAAAAATGTGCAATTTCGAGCAGAAATGACTGAAAAATTACCGAAAATGAGCACTTTTGAGTCATATTTAACTGGAAAATGACCAAAACCGATGATTTTTCAATAAAATGTGACTGAACATTGACGGAAAACGAGGATTTTTGATTCAAATTTGACTGTAAGATGACCAAAAATACGAATTTTTGAGTCAAAAGTGACCACAAATATGCAAAAAATAGAGAAAAATGGGTCTAAATGGACCAAAATAGACCAATATAGACCAAAAATACGAATTTTTGAGTCAAATTTGACCGGAAAATGACAAGAATTGGGTCAAAATAGACAAAAAGTGAACGAAAATAAGCATTTTAGGCCCAAAATGGACAAAAAAAAATACGAAAAACTCGGGAAATTGGATCAAATATGCCTGAAAATTAGCCACCTGAGCAGCCAGAAATCCATTTTTTACGAATTTCAAAAATTTTGTAAATTTTGAATTTTTGAATTTTTGAATTTCTCGAACTTCCGAATTTCCGAATTTCTGAATATTTGAATTTCTGAATTTCCGAATTTAGGAATTTCTGAATTTTTGGATTTTTGAATTTCTGAATTTCCGAATATTTGAATTTCTGAATTTCCGAATTCTCGACTTTTTCCAGAAAATCCGCCTATCGTTCGATCATCAATCCGAACTGGAATTTCGCCGAAATGGGCATCGGTGGACTGGACAAAGAGTTCTCGAACATCTTCCGTCGCGCGTTCGCTTCGAGAGTCTTCCCGCCAGAATTCATTGAACAACTCGGAATGAAGCACGTTCGTGGTATTCTTCTCTACGGACCACCAGGTAGCGCCTTTTTAGACCATTTTGAGCTACCTGAACTGGATATGATAGAAGAACTCAAGAGCTACAAAATGAGCCTATTTGAGGTACTGTAGCTGATCTATAAGCAAAGTTACAGAACGCCAAAATTTACAGTACCCCAAGTAGGCTCAGTTTGTAGCTGCTCTTGAATTCTTCTATCATATCCAGTGAAAATAGGCCCCGCCCCCTTTGATCCCCCGTTGTCAAGAATCTGGGAAAATGATCGATTTTTCATCATAGTTTGACACTACAGTACCCCCTCGTGAATGCCGAAAATTCCAAATTTCACAGGTACCGGAAAAACTCTGATGGCGCGACAAATTGGAAAAATGCTCAACGCGCGCGAGCCGAAAATTGTCAATGGACCACAAATCCTGGATAAATACGTTGGAGAATCCGAGTCGAACGTTCGAAAGCTGTTCGCCGACGCCGAGGAAGAATGGCGACGGTGTGGAGCGAACTCGGGACTTCATATTATCATTTTCGATGAGATTGATGCGATTTGCAAGCAGAGAGGATCTATGGTAAGGGGTTTTTGGGTCTAAAATGATACCATTTACCCCATGTACCCCCATGTACCCATATGGGTGCATTCCCATTTTCCCATATACCCCATATACACCATATACCCCATATATCCCATATACCCCATATATCCCATAAACCCATATGCGTGGTGGGATTGGGAGTATGGGGTACATGGGGTATATGGGGCATACGGGATATATGGAGTGTATGGGGTATATGAAACAAAAATGGCCTCATAGACCCCATGTATCCATGTAGAGTATATTCCCATTTACCCCATATACCCGATATCCCCCATATGCCTCCATATGCCCCATATTCCCATACTTCCAAAAACCCATGTTCCCATACACCCCAAATACCCCATATGCGTGGAGAGATTGGGAGTATGGGGTACATGGGTGTATGGTAATATGGTAATATAAGAAAAAAAGGAATATGTGGTAAAGGGGATATGGGGAACATGGGTGTGTGGGGTAAATGGCGAATATGGGATATATGGAGGATAGCTCATAGTCACATAACGATATGTCCATATTGCTATGCTCCGATATCCTCCGTATACCCCATATAGACCATGTACCCCATATTCCTATTCGCCCATATTGCTCATATACCCCATGCACCCCATATACCCCATGTGCGTGGAGGTATAGGGTGTATGGGGTACATGGGTATATGATAATATGGTATATGGGGAAAAATGAATATGAGGTATAGGGGTATGGGGAACATGGGATATATGGTCATATGTTGTCATGACCAGTCTTTATTCCCATATACCCCATATACCCAATATACCCCGATATATCTCACGTACCCCATGTATCCCATATGCGTAAGGGATTGGGTATATGGTAATATGGGGAACATGGGTAGATGGGGTACATGGGATAAATTGGCGATATGGTGATATTGTACTATATGGGGTAAATGGTACCATATGGGGTATATGGGGATATATGAGGTATATATGGTATATGGGGTACATGGGGTCTATGGGGGTATATGGAAATATGGAAATATGGGATACATGGATGCAATATAATGACTCATGTCCCATAAACCCACGAACTCTAAAAGACCTACAGTAATCCTATGGTTACTTTCAGGCTGGCAGCTCATCGGTCCATGACACCGTCGTCAATCAGCTCCTATCGAAAATGGATGGTGTCGAGCAGCTCAACAACATCCTCGTAATCGGAATGACCAATCGTCGTGACATGATCGACGAGGCGCTCCTCCGTCCCGGACGTCTCGAGGTCCAAATGGAAGTGTCGCTTCCCGACGAATTCGGACGTCTTCAAATCCTCAGAATCCATACTGCCCGCATGCGAGAGTACAATAAGATGGACCCAAAGGTGGACCTGGAGGATCTGTCGAAACGAACCAAGAACTTTTCGGGTGCCGAACTCGAGGGACTCGTCCGTGCCGCCCAATCCAGTGCTATGAATCGTCTGGTGAAGGCTGGTGGCAAGGCGCAAGCCGATCCGGATGCAATTGAGAAGCTGGTCATCAATTCCGGAGATTTTGATTATGCACTGGAGAATGATGTTAAGCCGGTGAGCCGTTTTTTGTCTTGGTGGCTGGGAGTTTTCTAGGCCACGGCCATCCTATGTGATGCTTGGAGCTTGAAGGCGCATAGAATAAATACCGTGGCCTAGAATTTTCAACATGGCCTCGGGCTTTTTCTAGGCCACGGCCACGTTAGACCCTTGAGATTGAATCTATACGCCTTTAAGATTTCCTCCTATATCAATTTGATCTTAAAGGCGCATAGAACCAATTACAAGGGTCTAGATGGACATGTGGCCTAGAATTCCACCATGGCCTAGGGGCTTTTTCTAGGCCACGGCCACATTAGACCCTTGCGATTGATTCTATTATGCTTGTCTGAGAAAAAAAGGTTGAGACGCAGAGAAAAAGTGTCTGCGTCTCCTCCTTATGTGTGCTATTTAGGCTCTCCGCTTCGATATCGCTACCGTATTTAGACTGCAAAAAATACTCTCTAACCTTTTTTTCTCCGACAAGCATAATAGGGGTCTTTGAGATTTTCTTCTATATCGATTTTTTCTTCTATATCGATCTTAAAGTCGCATAGAATCAATTCCATGGGTCCAAAGCGGCCGTGGCCTAGAAAACTCCAACATGGCCTAGGGTTATTTCTAGGCCACGATCACATTAGACCCAAGCGATTGGATCTACGCGCCTTTAAAATTTCCTTCTATATCGATTTGATCTTAAAGGCGCATGGAACCAATTACAAGGGTCTAAAGCGGCCGTGACCTAGAAATCTTCACGACCGCCATCCTCTAACCCCCTAAACCCCTGAATTCCAGGCCTTCGGACGCTCTGACGAATCGCTGAATCGTTTCTTGACACGTGGAATGATTGTGTGGGGACCGGAAGTCACTCAAATCGTCGAAGAGGGAAGTCTCCTCGCGGATACTGTCAAAAATCCAGAGAATAGTGGATTTAGATCGGCTGTGTTGGCAGGTAAGAGATGAAATCGGCTGAAAATGAATTAAAATGATTCTAAATGAAAACGCAGCTCAAAGTTAGTCAAAAATGGTTAAAAAATGCTGGAAAAAAAGTCGAAAAATTCTAGAAAATGGGCTGAAAATTGGCTAAAAAAAGGCTGAAAATAGTCGAAAAATGCCTGAAATTTTGGCTGAAAATTGGCTGAAAAATGACAGTAAAACGGTCAAAAATGCCTGGAAATTTAGCTGAAAATTGGCAGAAAATTGACTCAAATATAGCTGAAAATTGCCTGAAATTTTGGCTGAATATTGGCTGAAATTGTAATTTTCAGACTAATTTCAGCCAATTTTCAGACATTTTCAGCCAGTTTGAAATCCTTTTTTATCTTCAAAAAAACTGATTTTTTCAGTCATTTTTCAATATATTTACATTTTCGGATTTTTGATTTTTTTTTCGATTTTTTCGAATTTCGCGTTTGCTGAAATTCTAGAATTCGAATTTCCGAATTTCTGAATTTTTGAAATTTCAGATTTTCCGGATTTTTGAATTTTTTTGAACTAAAAAATGATTGCAAAATGGCTGGAAATTGCTGAAAATACGCTGAAAATGACCGTGAAAACGGGCCAAAAAGTCAAAAAATGGGCTTTTTTGAAATTTTTGAATTTTCGCAAATTTCGGAAATTCGAAATTTTCGATTTTTTGAATTTTTGAAATTTCAGGTTTTTTCAGATTTTTGAATTTTTGAAATTTCAGATTTTCCAGATTTTTGAATTTTTTTGATTTTTTCAAATTTCCGAATTTTTGGATTTTTCTGAACTAAAAAATGATTGCAAAATGACTGGAAATGGCTGAAAATACGCTGAAAATGACCGTGAAAACGGGCCAAAAAGTCAAAAAATGGGCTTTTTTGAAATTTTTGAATTTTCGCAAATTTCGGAAATTCGAAATTTTCGATTTTTTGAATTTTTGAAATTTCAGGTTTTTTCAGATTTTTGAATTTTTGAAATTTCAGATTTTCCAGATTTTTGAATTTTTTTGATTTTTTCAAATTTCCGAATTTTTGGATTTTTCTGAACTAAAAAATGATTGCAAAATGACTGGAAATGGCTGAAAATACGCTGAAAATGACCGTGAAAACGGCCCAAAAGTCAAAAAATGGACTTTTTCAAAAATTTATAAAATTTCAGATTTTCCGGATTTTTGAATTTTTGAATTTTTCAAATTTCGCCTTTTCTGAAATTCTATAATTCGAATTTTTGGAATTTCTGAATTTCTGAATTACGGATTTTTGAATTTTTGGAATTTCAGATTTTCCGGATTTTCGAATTTTTGATTTTTTGATTTTTATTAAATTTCTGAATTTTCGATTTTTCTGAAATTCTAGAATCCGATTTTTTGGAATTTCTGAATATCCAAATTTCTGAATTTCGAATTTCTCTGAACTTCCGATTTCCCTAATTTCCAGGAGCCCCAAAAACGGGAAAAACGTCCCTTGCTGCTCAAATCGCCAAGAGCTCTGACTTCCCGTTCGTCAAAGTGATCTCACCAGAAGACACTGTCGGATTCTCGGAATCCGCCAAGTGTATGGCACTGAAGAAGGCGTTCGAAGACGCGAAACGATCGAAATTGAGCGTTCTATTGATTGACAATTTGGAACGATTGATTGGTGGGTTTTTGGCTGAAAATCGGCCTGAAAATCGGCCCGAAAATCGAAAAGCGTCAAAGATTATTGAAAAATGACTAAAAGTATGCTGAAAATGACAGAAAAACTGTCAAAAAAATACCTGAAATTTTGGCTTAAAATTTGCTGAAAAAAGGCTGAAAATAGTCAAAAAATGGCTGAAATTTTGGCGGAAAATCGGCTTGAAAATTGTATTTTTAGCTGAAAAATGACGATTTTCGAAAAAAAAAAACGTCTTAAAATTGCGATTTTCAGCCTAAAAAATTCGTTTTTTTTTTGTCTGGAAATGTCGCGATTTTCAGCCTGAAAATTGTATTTTTTTCGCTAAAAAAGCTCGAAAATTGGCTTAAAATTCGGTTTTTCAAAATTTTGAATTTTCGAAAAATTCAAATTTCGCGCCGTTTCCTTTTTTCAGACTACCATCCAGTCGGACCACGTTACTCGAATTTGGTCATACAAGCGCTGCTGGTGCTTCTCAATTCACCACCACCGGCGGTAAGTGGACATCTGGAAACACAGACAGACGTAAAAAGAGAGAAAAATGAGAGAGAAAAGTCGATAGAAAACTATGGGAATTGAGCTTTTTTGAGGACATCTGGACAAACAGACAGACAGAAAATGGTCGAAAAAAATCCTGAAAATTTAGCTGAAAAATCAGTAAATTTGCGCCAATTTTTGAACATATCGCTAAAAATTAATTATTTTTGGACCCGAACGGAAAAGCGCGCTTTTTGGAGACAGACGGACAGACCTGAAAACCTATTGAAAAACACCAAAAAACGCAGAAAATCGCAATTTTGAACCCGAAAAATGAAGTTTTTAACTGAGAAAAGTGATGTTTGGGACATCTGGACATACAGACAGACAGACAGACCTGGAAAATGGTTTAGAAAAACATCAAAAACGCAGAAAAATCGCCATTTTGAACCCAAAAATTTGAGAAAAATTTTCTGGACATCCGGACAAACAGACACATAGACAGTTTTGTTTCTGAAATTTCTTTAAAATCCTTCAAAATTTTCTCAAAATTCAGGGTCACCGCCTTCTGGTGCTCGCCACGTCTTCTGACCGTTCGTTCCTTCGTGATATGGGCCTGATGGACGTGTTCGGATCAGTAATCGATATTCCGAAACTGTCGACAGCCGATCAAATGATGAATGTGATTCAGGAGAGCAACATTTATTCTGACGACCAGCTGCCGTTGATCGAGCACAAGCTCCGATCGTTTGTCGAGGGAAAAATGTGAGCGGTTTTTGGATTTTTTGGATTTTTCAAAAAAAATATGCTGAAAATGACAGAAAAACGGTCAAAATTGCCTGGAAATTAGCTGAAAATTTCTTGGAAATTTTCGCTGAAAATCGGCTGAAAAAAGACTGAAAAAATGACTAAAATTATGCTGAAAATTACAGAAAAATGGTCCAAAAATGCCTGAAATTTTTGGATTCATTTTTCAATATTTTTTTGCAAAATTTACATTTTCGGATTTTACGAATTTTTTCGATTTTTTTCAAATTTCGCCTTTTCTGAAATTCTAGAATACGAATTTTTTGGAATTTCTGAATTTCTGATTTTTTTTGCGAAATTTTTGAATTTTTGAAAGTTCAGATTTTCCGAACTTTTGAATTTTTAAAATTCTGAATTTTCTGAATTTTCGGAAATGGTTTTTTGAAATTTCAGATTTTCTGAATTTTTGAATTTTTGAAATTTCAAAATTTCAGATTTACCGAATTTTTTGAAATTTTGAGAATTTTTGAAAAATCTTGAATTTCTAAATTTTCAGGTTCACTAAAACTATAAATTCTAACCTTTTCCGGATTTTCTATTCTTCTGAATTTTTTGGATTTATAAATTTTGGCATTCTGGTTTTTAATTTTTTTTTTTTTTGAAAAACTGTTGAAAAAAAGACTGAAAATCGTCAAAAAAATACCTGAAATTTTGGCTGAAAATTGGCTGAAATTTAGCTCAAAATCGTCAAAAAATACCTGAAATTTTGGCTGAAAATTGGCTGAAATTTAGCTCAAAATAGTCAAAAAATACCTGAAATTTTGGCTGAAAATCGGCTCATAATAGTCGAAAAATTCCTGAAAATAGTCATTTTCAGACAATTTTCAGCCAATTTTCGGACAATTTTCAGCCAGTTTGAAATCCTTTTTTATCTTGAAAAAACTGATTTTTTCAGTCATTTTTCAATATTTTTTCAAAATTCGGATTTTTGAATTTTTTTGAAAATTTTTGAAAAGTCCCCGTTTTCTCCGTTTTTTTCTCCGTTTTTTGCCTTCTTTAGGTGCAAGAATAGCCTTTTTTTTCGTTTCTTTTTGATCCCTCCCCATAATAATCTGGGATCATATCATTTACGAAATTAAGGCGAAAAAATCCGGTTTTTCGCGATTTTTTTGGGCAAGAAGCCCAAAAAACCCTGAAAATCGGGTGATTTTTGTTGCCATTCCTTGGTTCGAAGAACGTTTTTTTTCGTTTTTTTTTCACTAAGACTGGGTTTATAATACTATAATTCCTCTCATCGTTTTAACTTAATTTTTAATCCAAAAATCACTTTTTTTTTGAGAGCAAAAATCGCGATTTTCAGATTTTTTGAGAGCAAAAATCGCGATTTTCAGATTATAAAAAACTATGAAAATAAAAAAAATTTCGAAAAAAACTTATTTTTCGAATTTTTTGAAGTTGATTTTTGCTTGAATGAATAATTTTCGATAATTTTCGGCCAAAAAAATCTGAAAATTTTGAAAATTTTTTCTGAAATTTTCAGAAATTCAGAATCTAAAAATCTCGAATTTTGGAACTACAGAATCCCAGAATTTTGGAATCTCGGATTTTCAGGATTTCAGAATTTCAGAATCTCGAAATATCGAAATATCGAAATTCAAGAAATTCAGAATCTCAGAATTTCAGAAAATTAAAATTGTCGAATTCCAGAATTTCGATTTTTCGGAATTTCAGATTCTCAACAATTCGGAATTCCAGAATCTCAGAATTTTGAAATTCCAGAATCTCAGAATTTTGAAATTCCTGAATTTCAGGATTTCAGAATCTCAAAAATTTTAGAATCTCGGATTTTCAGAATCCCAGAATCCCAGAATTTTGGAATTGCTGAATTTCAGAATTTCAGATTCACAGAGTCTCATAACCTTGGAATTTCAGAATCTCGAAAATTTCAGAATTTCAAAATTCCGGAATTTCAGATACTCAACACTTTAGAATCCCAGAATTTTAGAATCTCGGATTTTCAGAATTTCAGAAATTCGGAATCTGAAAATCTGAATGTCTAAAAATCTCAAAATAGAATCCCAGAATTTTGGAATCTCGGATTTTCAGATCCTCAGAGTCTCATAATCTTGGAATCTCAGAATCTCGAAAATTTCTGAAATTCAGAATTCCAGAAATTCAGATTTTCAGAAATTCAAGATCCCTAAATTCCAGAATCTCAGAATCTCAAAATTTCAGAATATTTGTTTTTCACATTCAGATTTCTTTTGCAATTTATACTTTTTTGACAAAATTTCAGATTCGGCGTCGGCATCAAACATCTTCTGGAGCTCATCGAATCGGCACGACAGTGTGAACCCGAGTATCGTGTCTCGACACTCCTTCAGAAAATCGAGAATCTCTCGAATTTGTACTAGAAAAAATTCTGGAAAATTCCAGAATCCTAGAAAATTCCAGATTTTTTTTGACTTAAATTATTAAAATGTTCATGTAGAAAATTTCCAAAAAATTCACTTTTTTGGCTCTTTTTCAAGGCCCAAATTCATTATAAAAATGTAATTTTTTTATTTATTTTTCTCCACTCAATTTCCTCCAATTTTAAGCCCTGATTATTCGATTTTTTTTTCGGCAAACGCGCTCTATTGGACTCCCCTCTGTAGTTATCAATAGAGCGCACATTCAGCTTTCCCCCTTTTTTCTCCTCCTCTCTTCTTTTATGTCCCCCCCCCCCCGCCCACCATATTTATGGTTTTTGTGCTAGATTTGGCTCTGAAAAATAATTCTTCTTCCTATTTTTGGATTTATCTTATTCATTCAAAAATATAGTAGTTTTCTGACTTATTTATAGCAATAAAAATGTGGATTTTGATGTGTATTTTTTAAACATTGTTTTGAAGGGAAGGCATTACTGTAGTACGAAAAAGTTTAAGAATTTTCAAAATCTCAAAATTCTACTGTGGCGAAAAACCTGTAATAAAAGGGCCCCTCAACTTTGAGACAATTTATCTCGGTTCCTGTAAAAGATATCAAAAAGGTGTCAACTGATAAAATGTTTATCATAATGCCAGCAACATTTTATCAGTTGACAAAATTTTGATATCTTTCATAGGAATCGAGATAAAATGACTTAAAGTTGAAGGGCATATCAACCTTGCTTAACGAGGTCGATGTTGCGCCGGCGTCTAACTCGGTTCAAACTTGGAATTTGGGATTGAATCAAAAAGTAAAATGTAGAACTTGATGAGATCTACAGTATGATACTAAATGTGGCGAGATTCGCTAAAAAACGACAACTGTAAAGAAGCCGTTTCGGCGTTAACCGATCTGAAGTCGATTTTGAAGAATCGGCAGTTCCACGGCTTCTGGTTCAAAACTAGCTATTTCAATATAGCCGAATTATATATCATTTTGTAGATCTCCTCGAATTCTACATTTCACTTTTTTATTCAAATGTGGAATTCGAAGTTTCAGCCGAGTTATGCGACGTCAAGCGGGGCGAGTCGGCAGGCACGGTTGATATGCCCACTGCCGGCCCGCTTTTGCCGTTCTGCTTGTTCCACTGCTTCTGGTTCAAAACACGGTACTTGAATATATTTGAATAATATAATTGTGTAGATCTCCTTGATTTCTATATTTTACTTTTTGATTCAAATTGAAATTCAAAGTTTCAGCCGAGTTATGTGACGTCAAGCGGGGCGAGTCACTGCCGGCCGCTCTGGCCAACCCGGCTGTTTCACAGTTTCTAGTTCAAAACACGGTAATCCAATATAATTGAATTTAACATTAATTTGTAGAGCTGTTTAAGTTCTAAATTTTACTTTTTAATTCCAGAAGAAATTTCAAGTTTCAGCCGAGTTATGCAACGTCAAGCGGGGCGAGTCACTGCCGGGCCGCTCTGGCCAACCCGACTGTTTCACAGCTTCTAGTTCTAAACTCGCTGTTTCGATATAGTCGAATTTAATATCATTTTGTAGAGATTTCCAATTTCTATATTTTACTTTTTTATTCAAACTGAAATTCAAAGTTTGAGCCGAGTTATGGGTCGATTTACAAGTATACCGTAAATAGTCTAGTATCATTCAATGACTCCTATAACTTTTACCTTTGAGCCAATTTATCTTGATTCCCGTAGAAGGTATCAAAAAGTGGTCAACTGATAAAATGTTGCTGATATTGTGATAAACATTTTGTCAGTTGACATCTTTTTGATATCTCTCACAGGAGCCGAGATATCTGGTATCAAAATGGACGGGGTTGATTGGCATTCTGAAATCAATCCCTCATTCCACCCTCCAATCTCCCGAATATTCCGGCTACTTGTCCCTCCCTCCTGATGACGTAGTCCTCATTTGCACCATTCCTCGGCCTCCCACACCCATTAATTGCACTTTTTAACCTGGCACCCCGACCGGCACCACTGACAGTGACGTCACACCTCCCTAGCAAAAGGGCACATATGGCCATGAAATGTGACACAATGTGTCGCAAAGGAAAATGACAATCGTCTCTCGCTCCCTCTCTTTTTTTGCGCCAATTTCTTTTCGAAACGATTCGAAAACATTGGCTGGCACAGTGCCAATGAGTCACCTGTCTGCTACTGCAGGAACAAAGGACAAAAGTGCAAATGCTAAATACATAGTTTGGAATCAAATGTGCCGTGACGATGATGCAAAAGTCCTCGGTGGAGGTACGGTAGTTTCTGGAGTTGCTTTTGGCAGAGGTGGGAGTACGGTAGCTCAGAAGACTCTAGAAGTTTTGCAAGAAAATCTAGAATCTAGCTACTGATCACTTTGAGCTCAATTATCTCAGTTCCTTTAAAAGCTATTTAAAATTTGTCAACTGACAAAATGTTGCCCATAATATTCTCAATATTTTTGTAGTCTGAAAATTTTTGATGGCTCCTACAGTAACCGAGATAAATGAGCTCAAAGTCAACGTGTAGAGTGGCGACTTTTAAGAGCAACGTTCTTGGTCTACAAAAATTGGATACGGTAGAAAAACTTAAGGGCTACAAGATGATACTACTTGAAATGCTGAAAACGTGAATACTTGCAAAAATGGGTACTGTAGTTCCTGAGATGATCCCACTAGTGTTGATTGGTCGAAAATTTCCATAGCTCTTTAGAAACTTTAAAGGAGGCCAGACACCAAAAAAAAAAGTTTTCCTGATATTTTGCATAGAGAACCCCCATGAGGGGTTGAACTCATGACAGGCAGCTCAGGGGTACAGCGCCGCTACCGACTGGGCTACGGGGGCGCGAAGGCGCCTGACGACCGATGGTCTACATAAGCGCGGCGCGATTTCGTCCCCCGAACTGTCCCCCAAAATTTTTGCTGTCTCGCCTCCTTTAAAGGCGCATAGAACTTTGGCTGCTGGTACTGACGATGCGCCTTTGAATCATTTCCCTCTGATCCCCGTTTTTAACGAATCGTCAGCTGATCTAGGTGACATTTCGTTTTTTGATTTCTGTGTTTTTTCTCTTTTCTCACGAATTTGATCAATTAGGTTTTGAACACTTGACCAAACAACATTCACCCAATTATTGTTGAATGATGTCATGGAAAATTGAAAATTAGAACATTTCGATTTTTGACGGAATTCTGAGATTGAGATTCTAAGATTCTGAAAATTTGAAGTTCTGAGATTCTCAGACTCTGAGAATATGAGATCCTGAAACTCTGAAATTTTGAAAAATTTCCAGATTTTCAGATTTTTAGAATCTATTGATTTTCAGAAACTTTCTGAATTTTCAATGTTTTCAGAGATTTCTCTCTCTCTCTCTCCTTTTGAGGGAGATCAAATTTTCGGTTTTTTGAAGACTTACTGTAGCTACAAAAGAGTTACCGTATCCTGTGAAGATTACTGTACTTTTATTGAAAATATTGAAAAAGATGATTTTTTTTCCAAATTTTCGCAATTTTCTGAATTTCTGAATTTCTGAATTTTTGAATTTCTGAATTTCTGAATTTCTGAATTTCTGAATTTTTGAATTTCTGAATTTCTGAATTTCTGAATTTTTGAATTTCTGAGTTTCTGAATTTTTGAATTTCTGAATTTCTGAATTTCTGAATTTCTGAATTTTTGAATTTCTGAGTTTCTGAATTTTTGAATTTCTGAATTTCTGAATTTCTGAATTTCTGAATTTCTGAATTTCTGAATTTCTGAGACTCTGAGATTCTGAGATTCTAAGATCCTGAGATTCTGGAATTTTGAAATTCTGAAATTTCGTTCAAGTCCCTTTCTTCATAATAAAAAAAATGAATGATCACTTTTTCAATTTCGTTTTCTAGCTCAATGCTTATCACATTTTTTTCTTGTGTGTGTGTTTTTTTTTTCATTTTCCCAGACAAAAACAACTTTAATGAGCTTTTCACATGTTTTTTTCCATTTTTCTTCTCAAAAAATGGCTGATTACTCAAACTTCCTGGTAACAGATATCCGTTGAATGATCAGAATGCGCAAAAAAAACATTTCGAATTTCAGAGTCTCGGAATCTCAGAACTTCAATACTTCAGAATTTCAGAATTTCGGAAAATCGAAATTTCAGGATTTTGTAATTTCAGAATACCTGGACGATAGAAACGGAGGGTTTCATAATATGACATTTCGAGGAGTTTTCTGCATTGCTGGTTGTTCGTGAAATAATTCGATTTTTCGAAATCCAAAAAATTCAAAAATCCCAAAATTTTTAAAATTAAAAAGTTTGGAATTCGTGTAATTCGGAATTCGAGAATTCTGGAATTCTGAGTTCCCCAATTTCTGGATTCTCAAGCGTTATTTGAATTCCAAAATCAGAAATTTAAAAGTTTGAACTCAAAAACTCTGAAATGATTCTGAGATTCTGAGATTCTGAAATTCCGAATTTCTGAAATTCCGGATTTCTGAAATTCTGAAATTCTGAAATTCTGAGAATTTGAGATTCTAAGATTCTGAGGTTCTGAAATTTCGAATTTCTGAAATTCTGAATTTCTGAAATTCTGAATTTCTGAATTTCTGAATTTCTGAGATTCTGAGATTCTGAGATTCTGAGATTCTGAAATTCCGAATTTCTGAATTTCTGAAATTCTGTAATTCTGAGAATTTGAGATTCTAAGATTCTGAGATTCTGAAATTTCGAATTTCTGAAATTCTGAATTTCTGAAATTCTGAATTTCTGAGAATCTGAGATTCTGAGATTCTGAGATTCTGATATTCTGAGATTCTGAGATTCTGAGATTCTGATATTCTGAGATTCTGAGATTCTGAGATTCTGAAATTCCGAAATTCTGATATTCTGAGATTCTGAAATTCTGAATTTCTGAAATTCTGAATTTCTGAGATTCTAAGATTCTGAGGTTCTGAAATTTCGAATTTCTGAAATTCTGAATTTCTGAAATTCTGAATTTCTGAATTTCTGAGATTCTGAGATTCTGAGAT